TCGGGGCTACATGATTCACATTGGCCAAGCCTACCGAAGCTTGAACCCGTATCTCAATGGACTCCATCTCACCATCGATGGCTGGAGGGCGAATCGTACCGTTGACGGGTGGAAGAACCGACGTTACATGGCGTCTGCCATGGAAGATTGGAACTTGCAAGGCCATGACACGGGCAAATTCAAGGCGCCCATGGCTCCCAAGCTCGTAAAGGCCGTGCCGCGGCTTGACCACGACGTTCGTGCCTTGTTGGTCCTGACCGAGTCAGAACAACCACCACTGAACATTGTACGCTGCAGGCGAACCTTATGGGTGGTGTATGGGTTTGGGGACGCGTCGGGCCCCGGTTTTGGTTTCTCCTCCCAAGTGGCTGGCCAAGACGCTATAGAGGTTGAATATGGCCAATGGCCATGCACGGTGTCAACAGAGGCGTCGTCCAATTGGCGTGAGCTGAACAACTTCGTCGAATACTTGGAGAGACGAGGAGACCGCGGAGAGCTGGCCGATTCAGAGATGTTCGCTGCCACTGACAATTTTGTCGCGGAGCGGGCTTACCACAAGGGCTACTCCACGTCGGAGCGGCTGGATCAATTGGTTCTGAGGATCTACCAGTTACAGATGACCCACCAGTTCAAGCTGCACTTGTTCCATGTCAGCGGCAAACGCATGATTGAGCAAGGCACCGATGGTCTGTCTCGTGGGGACCAGGGAGCTGGATGCATGCGAGGCGTGAAAATCGTTGAGTTCATTCCGCTACACTTGACGGCTATTGAACGTTCACCTCCTTTGCGCGAATGGCTCGAAGACGTGTTTAACTTGTCAGGCGATCTGAAATTCTTGAGCCCAAACGAATGGTACACGCAGGGTCAGACTCACACGGCTTGTTGCTGGACCCCACCTCCGGCTGCCGCTGATGTCGTGGTGGAGCTACTCGGGGTGTCAAGACACAAGCGATCACAACACTTCCACATCGTTGTGGTACCCCGTTTGATGACGGGTCTATGGCGGAAGCATCTGAGCCGGGCTTCTGATTTCAACTTCCAACTGTCTGACTGTGGTGTTTGGGAATGCAATACCATGTTTGAACCTGTGCTTATCTTTGTTTGCTTGCCCATTGATACTTCTGATCCAAACTTCAAACAAAGATCCCATCTACTGGAAAAGCTTGAGCGGTTTCTGCAAGGCCCCAGGATGCAGGAAGCACATCACGGCTGGTTCAGGAGTAGTTTGCGCGAACTAGTTTCGGCAGGTGTGGAGGAGCTTGGTGTGCTGGGTGTTTTCGGCTGGAGGAAAAGGACGGTTTCAGGTCAAGGAAGAAGGTGGACGATGATGGATTGAGCCTAGCTCGCAAGGATGAAAATGTGTACCTCCAAGCAAGGGACGGTGACCACTTGATGCTCTCTTTCCAATGTGAGGTGTGCCATTTCCGAAATATGATGCAGAGGGACCCGGTAGCTGGAAATGTAACGCATGAGAGATTGCTTCTGCATATACGGCGGGGAATCTTGGATGCCTTTTGGAGTCGAGAATCCACAACCGTGAACCACAACCGATTGGAAATGCTGCGAGGACAGAAGACGGCGGACAAGTTCGGGTTTGTGAGTTTGAATCCTCCCTATGGTCCATTCCCGCTGAACGACTCTTTGGGTATGATGGCCGTTGTCGCCATTATCGATCGCTCTCAAGATCCATATGGTCGCTACGAAAAGTATGTGCAGCCAAATACATACCGGAAGGCGCAAACGGCGATGTCAAATGCAGCGCGAGCAAGTTTGGAAGGACAAGGCTACTCCATCGGAGCTGATGGACTTAAGAAGGTATGGATCACCAATTCGTCCACTCACACCCATTTCTTCGCTCGATTCATGTCCGGAATCAAACGGCGAACTGGCGAGGTCACTCGACAAGACAAGTCGGTGTCATTGGAGGTCATGCTGGAAGTAAACGTCATACTAGAAGAGCGATGGAACAACGCAACGAGCGAAGTGAGCAAGTACACGTCCTCGCGCATGGGCTCTTGGTGGAATGGCGAGTACTGCACAGCTCTACGAGGAGAGGAAATGCTAATCATTGAGATGAACGGCACGCGCAACAGTTTCTCGAACCTGGTTGCGTGGAAGAAGCCCGAGCCACATTTCCACTACGCGATGGCTGGCAGTATCAAGACGGACCGCTCAGCGTCAGCCTCGCTGCGCATACCTATGGTTGCAAAAACCAGCGGCAGCGAGCTACGTCCCGCTCTGTGGCACCAGCGATACGTACGATGCTTAGAGCGACGAGGGCGAGTCGGAGGCTACCTCTTTGGAGACGATACTGGGGGACCAGCTCGCTTACGAGACTTCGAAGAAGACTTCTTCGAGCTTCTAGAAGAAGTGCAGCGGAGAAAGCCATCAGTCATAGATGAAAAGGTCAAGGTCCGAGAAGAGTTCGGCTTGTGGAGGTCAATCAGACGAGGGGCCACCGCCAGGGCCCGGAATCTTGAATTAGGAGAAGACTTGGTTAACACCATCAACCGATGGAGAACAGATCGAGACAACCCTGGCGGGCACAGGAAGGTGATTGACATCTACACGGAGTGGGAAGCGCTCACTCCGTTCCTGTTGAAATATTCACATTCCTTTTGAAACCTCACTCGGTCGATGAGGTCTCTTCACCAGGAGGAAGACGAGGGGGGACTGGGGTCTCTGGTGTCATGACCAGAGACCATGTGTATCTACAAATGGACAAGATTTGAATGTTGGGAACATCCATGCTTTGCCAAGGTGTTGAACCAGGCAGAGCAACTCCTGTAAAGGAGGAAGGTCTGTTACTCATCAGGATTTGAATGCCCTAGAGCACAGTGCCTTGGAGTGACCCTGTCACGGGTACTCGGGTATCAGAAAACCCCCATCTTAGTGATATAATGGTGTTAATGCATATGTGTTATTTACAGCTTTGGACTTCCATGACAGTACTGAATGAGACAAAGAACCCAAGACCAGATCAATACTCGCCCCCAGCCAAGCAGATAGGGTCAAGGGGAAAGTCACAGTTACAACTCAGTCAGAGCATCCAAGACTCAGTGGAAGAAGCAACCTGGCGAGTCATTGACCAGGTGGACTTCTCAGAGACCACAGACTCATTCTTCTGAAGCAGAAGATCCAAAAGCTACTATCAAGACTAACTGCAGCCAACCAAGTTGAACAAGTGAGGTTGATACTCTCTTGACCATCTTGACTATTTCAGAGAAATTTCGAGCCCACCCACCCACCCTGGGGTCTCTGGTGTCATGACCAGAGACCATGTGTTCTACAAATGGACAAGATTGAATGTTGGGAACATCCATGCTTTGCCAGGTGTTGAACCAGGCAGAGCAATCCTGTAAAGGAGGAAGGTCTGTTCCATCAGGATTTGAATGCCCTAGAGCACAGTGCCTTGAGTGACCCTGTCACGGGTACTCGGGTATCAGAAAACCCCCATCTTAGTGAATATAATGGTGTTAATGCATATGTGTTATTTACAGCTTTGGACTTCCATGACAGTACTGAATGAGACAAAGAACCCAAGACCAGATCTTCATCTCTGCAAGCTTCTGATATGATGCGGAAACAGCTGAATAAATCTGGTTTTATTCGGGATTGCCCCACAACAAACTGGTGCGGTGGAGCTCCGATGGTGCTTGCTGAATGCTAAAGCAGCTGCTGAAGTGCACCGACTAAAACTACAGTATGTAGTCATTAAAACGTATTATTTCGTTTAGACGCTTCCTTTAAAACTTTCATTGAAGCCATGTTTGCTCTGTTAAACAGTATGAACCACCAGGACCCGACGTGAACAGCCCATGAACAAGGCGAAGAGCCAACGAAATAAATAGGTTACAAGTGCACTGGACTAAGTCTCATACTCATTTGAGAACCCTAACGCATAAACGTCTTCGATGTCAATTATTGCATTCATCGTCTCAAGTACCCCTAGAAACAATTCAAAAGAGAACAGTCAAATGACTGTCACTCAAACAGTAGATCAGATTGAAATACCCAGTCCTTACAAATAAAGTAATGTTTCTTGACTGGATGACAAGGTACCGGTATGCATACCAGCCAGCAGCAAAACTGAAAGGCTACTACTTGTATAGCCTAGACTGTGAATACCAGTAAATACCCTTGGGCTTGTTTCTGCTAGCCAACATCGCATACAGATAGACAAAGGAGCTGAGCTGAGCTGAGCTGAGCTGAGCTGAGCGTGTGTGGTTTAGCCCGTCAGTACTCCACAGCATACAAAATCTCCTGATTCAGAACCGTTGTCCAGGGGATGGTAGTTCAGCAAGTGGCAGCGCCAATTCCAAGTACTGGTTGGATCCAAATACCCATGATAAACTTCAAAATGGAACCTTCTGGGGACCATGGAGATTGAAATTCCAGAGAGGACAAATATATAGGTTCACTCTGGTAACTCCCAAGTCGCCATGCTACCCAAACAGGACGTGTTGATGCATCAACTCCAACGAAGTGAGAGCTGCTGGCCTTATCTGCATTAGATGTTGGAACGAAAAGGAGCTTCTCTCGCTTTTCGCTTTTCACTTCTCACGGCAACAACTCGCCAGAGACGACCTGGATAACAGTGTGACTCTGGGTGTTGGGGTACCGGTACCTGGTACATGTATTTAAAGTGAGTGCAGTCCAGTCAATCATCAGAATGACCTTTCGCGTACGTACCGGTAGACAAATCTGCTTCACTATGAGCAATTGTACTGAAGACTGTCACTCTGATGCTCGGTCTTTATTCTTCAGCGTTCCGAAACTATTAAAACACCAACTCCTAAATCATTACTAGTATTCTTTTTACTCTTGTAGTCTCCTCTTTTCTCTTTGGGCTTGAGAGTTTACGGTACGTGTGTTCGGTACCTGGTACCAGCAAACGGTTTATTGGGTTGATGCTCTTTGCTCTTTCTAGTTTTAAGAATGAGTGCAGTCACAATAAGTCAATGACTGGATCTGTGTTTCTACTAGCTACCTGGTACCTGCTGGTAGTACTGTACGGTAGGCTGCTTTGTCGGAAGTCGTCGGAATCGAATCGCTCGGTGCTCGGTGATCCCACTCTCAAGAGCATCAAGTCTATCCCAAGAGAGCACACAATTTATTTGGTTTTTCACTCTCTCTGATCATCAGATTCTCAACTACCGGTACCAACTAGTAGCGAGTCTAACAATCACAATGGGTTTCTTCAAGCTTTCTGATCCTGCCACTGCTGGCTTTGACGCTAGCAGTGCCTTTGGCGGCCTTTCCATGGATGACAAGGTTCCTCCACCTCCCGCTTTTGAAGAGGAGGAGAGTGGCAATGGCAACATGAAGCGCAAGACTAGCAGTGCCAAGAGCAGCCCTGTCATCACCAGTAGATCTAGTAGTACCAAGAAGAACGCCTTGCGCAAATCCAAGTCGATGGAAGCGGAATCTCCTTCCACTCCTAAAAGTGGCAGTGGCAAACGAGTGCCTCGCAAGTCTCGCAGCAAGGGAGCAGATGCGGCCAAGGCTCCTTTGGATTTGGACGAAGGAAAAGCTTACGGTGGTGGCAGTTGCGAAATGACGGAGCATCTGCAAGATATTGAAGCCTTTTGCCGTGTGGTCAAGGCAGCCGGATCCCAACAGAGAGAACGCTTGGTACGACACTCCATGATGGTAGCCAGTACCGGTACTACAAGCAACCAAGGCAGCAAGAAATCATCCAAGGCTGCGGCATTCAAGAGGAGCATGACCACTGCCAACTAACTAACTAACTAACTAGTTCTCTCACTTGCCAAGGAGGGAACCAAGATTTTGATACCCACCCACCTCAGCCACCCACCAACATCACATTTTAAAAACTACATGTCTTTTTACATAAGCACTTCTAATAAGCACTTACTTTGACTTACTTGTATCTGATCTATAGCTACATGAAGCAGGCTAAGTGGCTTGTTGATCGTGGCTTTGAAAACCATCCTACCAGCTACTGGCTAACTAAGGTTTTAAGATCTTTCGTCCCAGCACACATTATTATTATTATTATTATTACTACTAAAAACAAGATCCGCGACCACCGACCACGCTACCCACAATCCACACACTGAGATAGTCTAATAACGGGAGATGTACTAGCTAGTAGTATGGCTTCCACCAAGAATCAGAACAGGCGTCGACTGTATCGTTCTTCCATCCTCAGGGACAAGAAGTTTTGGGTGCTGTCAGCCTTACTGAGCTCTACTCTAATCTTCCTGGTCTTCTTGAACTGTTACCCTCATCCAATCTTCCATCTTACTGAGACTAATGCTAGTAGTAAGAAGTTGTGGTCAACTTTCACAGTAAATGTCAAACCAGACAGACACAAAGATGACATTGATACGCTTATGGATGAAACCTCACTTAGGAAAATCCAAGAGGAACAAGCACAAGAAGCCAGCAGTCTACCAGACTCCTTATTCTTCCAAGCACAAACAACTCAAGACAGAGACCCCTGTTCCAAAATTCTGGGAAATGGGGTGGATAAAAAAGCTCCTGTCTTTTCCATTTGCACTCCTTGGAATGCTAGTGACATTATACATGCTCCATCCGCTGGCTCTCTGTCTTGTCAATGGCATTCCAAGCTTGAATCCAATTTCTGTCAAGCCACAAACCTCCTCGTGGATCCTTCCAAAATTAGAGTTTCCAAGGGGGGAGAAGACGTCAAGCAGGTACTGGGACGACCTGAAGCTGACGAACTACCCAAATATAGAGCCGGGGCGCTTCAATTGAGCCAATGCAATCTACTCCATTCCGATTCAACCCACATAAACACGGCGGCTCTGCCGTATCATTTGTTCGACATGGTCAAAAGTGTACGAGAAGGAATTCCACATTCCCATTGCACCGTCTACGAAGAACGGACCACTCTGATTGTCACACGATACGAATATGCCAATCTCTATCATACATACACCGATTGGTACAGTGCCTACCAAGCCGCCATGATTGCACTGCAGGGCAACAGCACGGCTATGGAACAACTCCATATTGTCTTTTTCGATGGACACGCTCACGCACAAGTCGACATGGGATGGCAGCTATTGTTTCCAAATGCCACGGTCACGTACATTTCACATTACAATGAACATGCCTGCTTTCGACGGGTCATTTTAGTACCGCCCGGGTACATTGCACCCACGTCCTTGACCGTCACCGAGGAACACGGGGAATGCGAGAAAAACAAATGGACCAGACGGTTCCGACAAATGTTCGTCACCAATTCCATACGACAATACAGGATACAACAACAACAACAACAACACAATCCACAACAAGATTCCAATATTGTAAAGAGACCCTCCTCCCAAACAAAGAGCATACGGCAAATAAAGAATCAGAACAGCAACAAGGGTACTACTGCGCTCCAAATAATGCTGCTCTCACGAGCCAACTACCAAGCGCACCCTCGTATGAATGGCAAGGTGACTCGCGTCATTCGAAACGAGCCAGAGGTCTTGCACTTTCTACAACACTACAAGGGTCCTGATCCACCTATTGGTGGCTTGTCCAAGGATAACTATCCCACCAACACACATGTCAAACGGGTCGTGCTGGAAGACCACACCGTGGCTGAACAAATTCTCCTCTTTCAACAAGCCGACATTATCATTGGGATGCACGGGGCCGGGCTCTCGCACATTTTGGTGGCACGGCCCGGCACCATGCTACTCGAAATACGACCTCCCGGATTTCAAGAACTGCCGCATTTTCGATATCTGGCACACTTGGCGGGATGTCTGCATCAACCACATGACTTGCAAACAGAAGATGAAGCCGAGGATCCCTATCCAATCTCCATTCCCGCATTCGAACAGGCATTTGCGGACAGTGTGGCACAGTTTCTAGAATTCAATTCCAAACAACTAAATAACAACTTGCCGTAACTATACATGCAACTAGCTTAGCGGTACGAACTTCGAACGAGTCACGAGGAACTGGAATGCGGGGCACCCTCCTCAATCCTTTGCCCCATGACGCAAGGCATGTCCAGACGAAAAACGAGGTCGAGATCTGCAGCTCTGTGGTTCAGTCTCGCAAGAGTTCAAATCTCTTCACACTCTTCACGGTGAGCTTGTTGATTTGCCTGAATTGGTTACTCGCCTTTTGGGACGTAGCGAAAACGATCGATTCTACGCATCTCGAGTCGCAGAGGCAAATCGTATCTAGGCAATCCTTTGGCGTTCCGGGGACGGAACCACGAGACCAGGAGCACGAGCTTGACCAACAGATTGAGTGGACAAATACAAACCCCAAGGAAATGAAGCGGCAAGAGAACCTTAAGAGAAGAGAGAAAGAAAAGATGAGACAAGGCACAACCAATGGCTTCGGAAGGTCAAGAGAGAGCAGAAATGTGAGACTTTTTAACTATCTAGGAGTGAGAGGAGCTTGACGCCACAAAACGTTTTGGGCAAGGGCGCAGCAAGCACCTGACCAAGCAATCGAGGCAACCGACCACGAGCCCGAACGAGAACCAACAAGAAGGGAAGATGAGGCTTGGTCCTGGGGCACAACCATCGGCCTCGCAGGTCAAGAGAGCGAAGAAGGGTGAGACTTTTAAACTATCTAAGAGTGAAGCTTGACACCCCAATCATCCTTGACAAGGGCGCAGCAAGTATCCAAGCCAGCGAGCGAGCTACCGACTGACCGTTGCCTTGCCCACGAGGACGGACCGACCAACCCAAGAGGAACCACCAATTAGATGATAAGCACCAACCGTTGCCTTGGCCACGAGGACGCCCGGCCAACCCACAAGGCCCACAAGGAGCAGCTGCAATAGCACTGGGAAAGGTGTCATCGTCATGAGACTGGAACACGAACGGCCGCGGCACCATTGTCAAGGCCTATGTTGGAAACTAACGGAGATGAGGCGGCAACGGTCGACGACCGTGAAGCAATGTACACAAAAGACAGGACACATGGACTTACCTTGCCACAGGTACAGAACCACCGCAAGACGACCGAGTTATGAACGGCATTGTCAACCGTGATTCGACAAAAGGAGGAAAGAAGGACGGTTAGAAGGCTTGTTTCAATATCAAATGAAGAAATGAAAGACTGGTTCCGGCGAAGAGCAAATGGAACGGACTCATGAAATGGCCGCCCACTCACTCCTCTAACAAGGCTCGAAGCAGCCCACGAAGGAGCACCGGAAAATGGCACCATTGTGAATCTGTGAGAAGAATGTGAACTGACCTTGTTTTGGATGAGACTGGATGAGGAACGGACCGTTGCGATCGGATGATTGATTGATTCGACCAGAGGAACCACCGCAAGACAACACCCTTGCCGGCGAAGAGTGAACCGTGGGCCCCACAGGGGAAGCCCAATCACTCTCCTGCAAGCAGCACCGGCAAAGGTGTCATCGTCATGCATGTCTTCGAGAGGAAGAAGAAGACAGAAGAAGTGGTTGTGTTGTGTTTGAGAGCGAGCGAACGGGTCTGGTTTAGGCAACGGCGTTTCCTGCATTTTCAGCGAAAGCTTTGAAATCAAACTAGAAGAAACGGTTGTTTTGTGTGTTTTTGAAATGGTTTCTCTTCCGCGAACTTTGGCCAACTCAAAATGAAAATCAAAATGAGCAACGATTTCATGCTTCGGAAATCGGCCAGACTAGCTGAGTCTCAGTCTCGGCAAAGGTACGGGTACCGGTACCGGTACCAGGTACTGGATAGGAGATTCGATTCGATTCGATTCGCAAACTACGAACAGTCCCACAGTTTCAGTCCCGCGCACTAATGGGCGCTCGGCGCACTAATGAGCGCTCATTAGTGCGCGGGACTAAACATCAGTCCTGGAAATTCTACAAATCAATGACGGAGCGGGAGTCGCAGCCCTGGATGGTTTGGCTGCTTTATTTCTACCTTTACGAAACTCTTGAGTGTCCGCGGATTGTTTGAAATGCACGAGTCGAGTCGACAGGAGAATCTCGAGAGTACCATGCCGGATGTCCTTGCACTTATTAGTTGAATGGGCCGTCAGCCAACGTTTGGTCCTCGTATGGTACTGAGAGAACCCACTTGCAATTGAGGCATAGCTACCCCAGCCAACAATGATCGTTGCGTTCGTTCCTCGAATCTTCATTCCAATGATTCGATTCGATTCAATCGGAGCAATAAGATCTTTCAGAGTCCAGGAAACATACATGTACATGGAAACATGAAACAGACCTGACCTGTGAAACGTGAATTACTTTTAGAAGCTCAGTGGCAATACAAAATACAAACTTATTACTTGTACGTACGTACTCGAGCAGTCCAGTACTCGAGTACAGTAAGAAGTACTGAGCACTCGAGTCATAGTTGAATAGTTGAGCTGTCGTTGCTGTTGAAAATAAATATCCAAAAATCAGCTGGATTCGACACAAAGAAGACAGGTGTTATTCTGAGAATACGGAAAGTAGCCGCTTTGACCACTGGCTACTTTTCGGAACATGACTGAGCCAATCAGAATGGGTTCATAAGGTATTCACAGCATCAATTAATAAATCTTTTCTTCAACCACTTCTCCACTGAGAATTAGACCGTAGCTGACTGCTGACTGTAGTATACGAAGCCTTATTGCACTTTGCCCTGAGTTCTTCGGAAGCCTTCCTACTTCCACCTTCCCTCTTCCTCCACCTTTTAAATCTTGTGTCATCCATCAGCATCATCCCAGCACCCAGCATCCCAGCTCCACAGCTCCAGGCCCTGTACGCATCCATTGCTGGATGCCAGACACCAGACCTGATGAACTCTGGAGCTTCCTGAACCTCTTTAGTAGCCTCAGTTACAAATTGGATCATCAGAAGTCGATCTTGTCTCTGATCTCAAGCTTATTACTACTAGTAGCTAGCTATTGTACAAGATGAATGAGCATGACAATGATGAAAGAAGTCCCGATGATTCAGGCGCACCCGTATCTATAACGGTACCGGTACCGGTATCTATGACGGTAGGTGCGGATGACAACCGTGACACCAGAGAGATGATGGTAGATCTACTAAATGTACTGGTAGCAGCCAGCGACAAGAATGAAACGCTAGCTAAGGTCAACGATATTGAGAAAGAGAAGGAGAAGGAGAAGATCAAAGCAGCGGCTGGATCCACAAGTGTAAGTGTACAGGACGCTTGTATCGGTAAGAGCAATGATAAGAGCAAGACTCTGGATACTACCGGTACCGGTACATGCAGTAGTGAAAAACTACATGATCCACCTAAGCCGGTACCATTAGGCACAAACATTGGTACTGAAGCTATGCATACCTTGAGTAACGTCAATGGGCTGCAAGGGCAGACTGCAACTACTGGCACTACCAATAATACGGGTAGACCTCGAGTGACGTCTCATCCTGGCGCCTATGCCCTTGCCCCATCAGGAGGAGGAATAAGCAGCAGCATTGCCCCTAATAACTTGCAAGCATCCACTAATACTAGTAATCCACTAGGACGAGGAGACGAGCAGCTGCTGACCATTGAAGCAGTTCCCGTGGTGGACGAACACAGAACGGAGCAAGAAATTGAAAACGAAGTCCGACAACGCATCTTCAACGAAGCTGTGCAAGCGGATGCCGTCATTCCCGTACCCATGGCACCGGAAGACCTAGAAACGGGAACACCGGCTGATCATTCACAAGACAATCGAAGCAAGCAGCAGCAAGATTCTACCACTCGAGCCAACCGCGCTCTGTGGATCGGGGTAGCGATCCTACTACTCATTGCTGTCTTGGCCGTGGCGCTTGCTTTGGGCCTTTCCAATCGAGATAGCGGCAACCAAACTGAAAGCCAGCAGCAGCAGCAGCAAAGACCCACACTTGTGGAGGGCAATTCGCCGTCTACTTTAGCTTCCGCCAATAGTGCCAACGACACAAACACATCATCTACCAGCACTGTAGTCGTGGAAACACAACCCGACCTTTCCAAGCCCACGCTTCAGAGAGTCAAGGAACGAGGATACGTCAAGTGTGGCATCTACGTGGATCAACCAGGATTCGGATTGCTGGACCCCGCCACGGGAAACTATTCAGGCTTCAACTTTCAACTCGTAAGTATATATATATATATACACCTCTTGCTTTCGTAGCCAAGTCTGAGGACATTTACATGCATGTACCTTGGTTTCATGTCTTGTCTCTCTAACATGCTGGCTATCATTCTTCGTTCTACACTTCTTGATTGATCGACAAAGTGTCGAGCTGTGGCTGCCGCCGTGTTCGACGGCAACGGAGATCGATATCAAATTACCACCGCCGACACGGCAAACCGATTCCAATTCATCGCATCGGGAGAACTAGATGTCATTTCACAATCCACCACCATCACCATGGAACGGGATCTAGCAGATGTCTCCACCAAACTGGGTGTCTCCTTCTCCTATCCATTCTACTTTTCAGGAATGATGTTTGGTGGCACGAGACAAGACTACGTCGAATGCGCCGACAAACTAGATCCATTTCACGGAGTCTGTCGGGGACTCAAGGTGTGTGTCGCTATTGGGACTACACAAGAAGCCATGATTGATGAACTGTTACCGGGACCAGTCGCGGTGCGATATGCCAATCCACGAGATGCCGTCGTATACATGAAAGATGGGAGATGCAACGTCGTCGCGGCAGAACCCGTATTGCTCAATCCGTCCCGTGTCAACAACTATCTGGGTTTGTTCCACAATCAAACGTTTCGACTCGGAAACAACACGTTCTCCAGAGATCCGTTGGCACTCTTTACTCGTGATGGCGACGTGGAGTGGTCGGATATTGTCAACTCGGTCATGAAGATCCTCTTCACGGGGGAAGCCAGGAATATCACCAAAGCAAATGTGCAAGAATACAACTTTGATGATGCAAAGGTCCCCATTGCCTTGCAAGAGCGAATTCAAAACGTCATTTCCACAGTGGGAAACCTCGGGGAACTCTATCGAGCCGAAACGGCAGAAGCTCTCCCGCGACAGGGAATCAACACTTTGAATCAAGACCTGGACAAGGGACTCATGTATTCCTACCCTTTTGGCATACCCGATAGAATACAACCAGAGGAGATTCCAAGGATATCAGAAACCATGTCTCGCATACAAGAGGCGGGACGCTTACGATGTGGAATCACAGCAAGGCAACGTGGCTTCGCCTGGCGGAACAACTCTACAGCGGGAAGATGGTCTGGCTTGCATGTGGAGGTTTGCCATGGACTGACAGCGGCTCTCTTTGCCGGAGATACATCCAGGATTGAGTTTGTGACCGTCGGGCATTCGCATCGCTTCCAAGCACTGAAGGATGGACATGTTGACGTCCTGGCTGGAGAACCGATTTCATTGACCAACGAGTTCTTTGAACCGTCCACTGGCATGTCGTACGCTTTTTCCATGCCGTACTTCTACAACAACAACCACGCCACCGACATTAACACGACGCAAAGCATGATGGCTTTGGCTACCAACCGAACAGACGAAGTTTGGAGTTCCTTTGCATTTTGGACAATCAACGCACTCATTTATGCCGAGGAGAATAATATTACATCTTCCAATGCGATTGAAATGCCTACTGTGAATCTGTTTGGTGTTGCCTACGTGCAAGCTTTGAGAGATTGCATATCCGCGGTGGGCAATTACGGAGACCTCTACGAACAAACTCTAGGTTCCATCATCCCCCGATCCGGGGGTAACTTACTGAATCAACGACCCTTCGGGTCGCAGCAAGTGGCATATCCTCTCTTCTGAAAAGGACGGGTGTGATGTTGGTTGGTCACTACGACCAAGTACTTCTCTCGGAAGCCGGGCAGGATAGGCATGAGTAAGAAAGTCCCTCGATCCATGCACCTGATTAGCACAAGTATTAATTAAAATGTAAGACTATTTTCATAAACTGCCCACACATCCTGCCATCATTCGAGCGAATTGGAAGGAATGTCTTGGAGGTTGGCGAATACCGGTATTGTGGTGGATACACAAGGCTGACTTGACCCTGATTGCCAGGTTACTGTCACCCACCAAGAGAAGATCCTCTCCAGATTGGATGTGCTTGCTACGGTCCACAGGATCCACACTGCCACCAACACTATCCCCAACCGTGCATCTCACTCCAGGACCACCTTTGGATGAGCAGACCATTGGCCACAGCATCATGGAATAAAATACAGTGCTGATACCAATTTCGTCATTATGATATTTGTGACAAAGATGTTTCCACGGTCCACGATCAACTATCAGTCAATGATCCGACATTTCTATCCCTAAGCTTTAGGGTTCAAACTCTGCCTATCTTGTATCACGATTGCGGAACACTCCCAAGAACGAGGGCAAGGAGATACTAGTATAGATCTACCACTTACCACCATAAACATAAGACGGCTGTCGAGATCTCCAACCATTCTCTTATCGTTCCCAGCTATGCGTACCTGATACCATGTCTGTTCCCAGCTCACCCATGCCCAGATCAGCGAGCCATGATGTCTTGTTGTTGGAGCGAGAGGATCTTTGGATTGGCCACCTACTCCCGTTTGTTGGTGTTGGACACTTTGCCTTTGTGGGCGCTGTCAACAAAAAATTCAACAAACTCTACAAAGAGTACTGCGACAGTGTGCCAGAGGAAGATCGTCCACGTGTCATGCTACATTTTGATGCACAAGTGGATGGGGAGGATCCCTCTCGCCCAGCAACCAGCACAGACACAAGTTATGGTGCAGCTTTCTACAACATCTCGTCAGCAGAATTCTGGCATGCTGACAGCTCAGAGAGGAAAAAACCAGATCATTATGATGTTTGTGATGAAATTGCCAAGCTTGGGTATATTCCACTGCTTCAATGGGCTCATTATGAGCAAGGATTCCCATGGGATGAAGTTACCTGTTGGTGTGCTGCTGAAGGCGGTCATTTGGAAACACTGAAATGGTTGCGCAAGAATGGGTGCCCTTGGGATGCCGATACCTGTATGGGTGCTGCAGAGAATGGTCACTTTGAAGTTCTCAAATGGGCACATGAAAATGGATGCCCATGGGATGTTTGGGTATGCCAAGAGGCTGCCAAAGAGGGTCACTTTGAAATTCTCAAATGGGCCCATGAGAATGGATGCCCATGGGATGAGAATACATGTGCCTATGCTGCTAAAGGTTGTCATTTGAACATTTTGCAATGGTTACGTGAGAATGAATGTCCCTGGGATCCAAAAACCTGCTACTTTGCAGCCAAGCAAGGGCATTTGGAAATGCTCAAATGGTTGCACGAGAACGAATGTCCATGGGATGAAATGACTTGTGCCAAGGCTGCTGAAGGAGGGCATTTAGAGGTTCTGAAATGGGCTAGAGAGAATGGATGTCCATGGAATGAGTCAACATGTAGTTCTGCTGCAGGAGATGGCCACCTTGAAATTCTGAAGTGGGCACATGAGAATGGCTGTCCATGGGATGGGAGCACCATCGCTGCTGCATCCGATTCCTACAAATGGGAGTGTCTGATTTGGGCACAAGAGAATGGATGCCCAGAAGAGGAGGAGGATTGAGATGGTGTAGAATGATGAATAATGAGAGAATTATCAGTGTCATGGTTCCCTATGTTGATTGATGATGATCTGATCTTTTTGGCAACTGGCACCGATACAAAGTTACTCTAATGACCAATCGGTCAAATTTGCGTTTGTGTGTATCTTTTTAATTAAATTAAAGTGAGCAATTTATTTGCCTGTATTTGCATGGTTCTATGATCTTTATGAAAGCGTGACATTGGTTTTAGTCACAGCACGGTCGGATATCGATGGGTATGTTGTACTTTGTGTAGAGTTGAGAGAAGATTTCCATGTATTCCATCATGATGTCTCTCCATTGTTGGTAGTCGTCATGATCGTCATTGCCGGTGGTATTGACAAATCCAGTAAAGACGTTGACGCAAGTCCAATCGCGGTCGTCTTGTCGCAGCAAGGACGTGAGTTTTTGGAGGAGTGTCCTTTCTTGGGTAGGATTGAGATGTCCCGCAATGGACAGCTGACGGACTTCGGGGTGTTTCTTGACTTCAGCGAGTAACGAGAGGACACTGTCGAGCGCCAGGTCGTCGACATCTAGATCCAATCGAATCTGGTAGTCCAGGCAAATGTTCTTGCGGAGACAAATGGCTTGTATGTGGTGATTGATATTCTCCTTCTTGTAGGCAAAACGACGAAAGTTGCTCGCATACGCCACATCGTCTTGAAACTGAACCGTCTGGCACGGACAGTCGTCTCGTACCAGAAAATCCCGCAAGGCGTAAATGTCGTGGCGAGTCGATCGTTCGATGAATCCTGACAAGACTAACGTAGTAGCAGACGATACAGCGGCGAGACTCAGTTCAACCTCAAAGTGTCTCAAGGCACAGGAGGAACTGATTCCTCTCGACGATGGTCGTTGGATCAGCTGAATATCGCCGTCATTGGCATCGCTACTACATGTACTACCAGTGCTACTACCGGTAGTGCTGATGCTAGTTTCACTGACAGTATCATAGCAAGACAACGGGGACAGAGCCAGCCCTCGCTTGAAGGGAACAATAGCCAAGCTCAGCGGCTCTTCTTGAGACAGGGTTCGTTGGCACATGCTTGTGTTTGTGTTGTGATGGGTGAGTCTTTTCAAAGGTTTTGAAGTGAGGTTGTTTGTTTTCTTCGCAGAAAATTATGCGGATGCAACGAGCATCGAACATTGCAAGAATCAAAACGGTGTTTGCTTTCTTTAGCGAGCGAAGAGCCACTCCAGCTGGGAGTTAAAATAAATTGTTCTTTTGTTCTTCTCAACACTTCTACGTGATTCATGGAAAATGACTCTTTGTTCTTCTGTGCACGTGCGAAGAGGCAACTTGTCCTTTAAGGCATTGTTGTGCCCTCTCAAAAAGCGAAGTCGGATTGGAGCTTCGAGAAGGGTCCACTGGAATCTTGTTGACGTATTCAGTTCTGCTTTGAAGAAACAATGAAACAATTATTTCTCTGCTGCCGCTACCAAGCACAGCACTTTGTAGTGAACGTATTCATGTACCAGCCATAATATCGTATCTGGGATTCGTTCTTTCGGAAAAGCACACGGAGTAGCTTTTGCTTGTTACGAGCCCGACTGCGCGAGGTGGGAGTGACGAGTCGAGTGGGAGTCAATTGTTGCATCTCGCAAACCGAATCTCTAGTTTCTTGCTCGGAGGTGGGATTGCCCAATGCGAACCTATGCTGCTTGGAGAGTGGTTTTGAGGAAGCTCTTTGCTAGCTAGAAGCATGCTTGGATTGCAGCTGTCCGTCCATAATGATAACCACCGGCTGTGCTTCCTCCATTCAACACAGAGAGTGTTTTTCGTCGAATCGAATCTTCAATCCACGTGGTGCGGCTAGAGCAAGCAACATAACCACTCAAAAGAGGTGCGTCATGATCAGGACAGCCAGATCCACTGGCTGGGTTTTGGACCATGCACCAATCTGCCAACCTTGGGCAGGAAGAAGATGCATGGCTGGGCTTTCTTCGAGTTGCTTGCTTGCCGAGAGCCGGCCCTTTGCTGCCTACTAGCTCGAGTGGCCAGAAAAACCTGAGATGCCGTATTGCTGGCAGTGAAAGCCACCATGTTTCTCCTCTCCGACTAACCCCTTGGATATGACCGCTCATTCGATGTAGATTAGTAGATTAGCTTTACAACGTATCCTACATGTACAGATACCAATTCGTACCAATTGTTGTTTCATTCGCAGATTCAAGGTGCAACACTGGCAGCCGTCTTCTGCCCCATTCCAAGCTGTTCCCAATGACACGTTCTATCTTGTGCTATTCATTGTTTTACTGTACGTAGTTGACCAAACAGAATTTTGGATGTTACAGTAGGTTTTCTGGCTTCCAGCCCTACACTACTGTGTGTTCTAAGTAGCCCTACCGTTACCGTGTGCTTCCTCCATGCTGACGGAAGGTTTACGAGAACAAGAGGTCAAGCAAACTTTTTGTAGAACCGGCTCCTCCATTAATAAAAGGCCCACGCTTTGATGAAAGCTGCAGCAACAAGTATTTTAGACTCGGAGTATACCGTAGCCTTGCGTGTGGCTCAAGAAGAAGAGAGGTTGGAAGCCAGGCAGCAAGCAGCATAGCCGCGAGTTCGCTTTGGTTGGCTTGCAATTTTGCTCGTTCCAAGTGAAGCCAAAGGTCGGGCAGCATACACCCCGGCCATCCATGAGACATCGGACCAGGCTTAGTAAGGTACGGTACGGAGGTCCTTGGCCCGCCCCTGTGTGGCAAGCACTGGGTCTTTGACGCACGTCTTTTTTCCATATCCGTACGGTAGGCAGCCGTAAAAATATCACCGGCCAAACCTACCGGTACCAACGACAAAACGCTCAATTGCTGAGGCTTCGGTCTGCATTGTTGGTCTCTAGCTGGTAGAAGGGATTGTTCTGATATCATTGATCTGTGGCTCAATCCTTTTGCAGCAAGTGGGGGCAATAAGACGTGCGGGAATCGAATCAATTCTCAGAACTGTCCTGCGCGTATCGTGGGTCCCAGGCACCTACAGCTGTAGGTCCACTAGCTAGCTAGCTAGACGAGGGAGGAGGGACGCGCTGCCTTGATACTTTTGATGGCTTCCTCCTCTGCTCCAGGTTGTCTGAAATTTTTGCACTTTGCTTCATATTCCATTCACTCCGATCCTTGTCCTTGTCCACATCTGATCGTGGTTCGTGCACCTCCGAGTCTGGCGATGACTGGCTGATTAACAATTTTTGATGGCTCTTGCATTGAGCGGCTTGAACGAGATGCAAGATCCCCATCGTGCTGCTTGCTGCTTGCTGCTTTCTTGTCCTTGCTCTTTGTCGGATCCCTTTGCTCGGAGCTCATTTTGTGTTTGACCCAATAGAAAAGGCTTCGCAAGAGGCAAAGCGAACCGATCCATTGAAAGGATCACATTGGCTGCTTGATTGCGGGTTGGATGGGAATCAGCGCTAACCCTACCGTATTCAAAGAACAGCTGCGACAATCACACTCTTGTATCGAAGAGCGGTTGTTTGGAAGGGAGAGGGTCCAAACATTGGCTCTTGACTAGCTAGCTAGCTAGTAGGGCAATGGAATGCTGGCCTTTTTCTTTGTTTTTAGAGGCCTGGTTAAATCGCTCTGGGTTTGGATACCCAGCCAGGAAAGTCGCTTGGCTTCCATGATGAAAGACAGGTCCATTGGCTGGTTAGCTAGTCTCACTTCAAGCAAGTTGCCTTCTCTAAGCTTGCGGTAGCTCTTTGATACAGCTTCTTTGCAGCTCCAAAGCACGCAGCCACAACCCACCTGAAGTAATAGCTAGCGTGGCTGAGGAGAGCTGTACTAGCTACTAGGCGACGAAAAGAAGGTCCACCACCTGACCCATGCTGGAAAAGACCTACGAGTATTGGGTTTTGGAGGACAATGATACTGGAGATGCCTGGTTGGCTGCTTGACACCTAAAACGTCGAATGAGTTGGATAGTAGTCTACTAGTACCGGTAGCAGCTAGTCTAGTAGCGGTGTTTCCTTCCCGAAGTTCCCGAAGCTCTTGACTCTCATGAAACTACGGCCGGCCGACTGTCCATGACAAAGGAGAAGTGGAGGCACACGGAGCGAGACCCCGGGTAGCCCTCGTCGTTTAAAGAGCGAATGCCGTTGCGGAAGTTTTGGGTCCTTCGCAAAGAAGAAGAGTAAAGAAGCTGCCAAGTCTTCTCTACCAGAAACTACACTTCTGCCATACCTACATGTATGTGTTGACCTCAACTCTGAGCCTCTGAGGCTGTAGCTTCTCCTCTACAGCCCAAACGATCGAGGGCAAAAGCGGAGGGGGAAAGAAGGCACATCACCGAAACAACCCTCTAGGTTTAGAACCTTCGCATTGGTCAAAAGACTGGCCCTGGAACAGCAATGTGGTTACGGGAGATGCCTTGCTTGACATGCATCTTTGCAGTACCGGTACTAGTGCCGGATGCAAAGACTGGTTTTTGTAGGTCGAGGCCTGGAGCTAAAATAGACTAAAACATTGTGTCTGCCTTCACACTTCACACTGAAGTTCACAAAGCTACCGTCCTTTCAAAAAACAAAAATCTTCGTTGAAATAGATGATGTACTGAGTAGCTGTTGACATCTATCTTGTGGTTTGTACGGTTGTACGGTAGTACCTGTAGTCTACCTACTGCAGTACGGCCGTAGGACAAAACTGCCTCTCGTGCAGCACAGCTGGATTTTGGATCTTTTCTGTTGTACTCGTAGAGAAAGGTTTGGGGTACGACTGACATAGAGAGTAAGAAGCAAGTCTTGTCTTTTAACAAAGCGATTTAATGAGAGAACAATGGTTAATTCGTCAAGGGTCAAAGGCATTTACTTTTGGGACGGAGCAATTTAGGTGCTCTCTTAAGTACCATTGTGGTCAGTGACCTTGAGGGTCACAATCAAGTCATCGTACCGGTGGAGGAGTGATCGACTTTTGGGGGATGGATCCTCACAAAATCTTCATCCCAACCACGCAATCATCAACCATCAGTCTAGCTAGACTACTATCTACTACCGGCAGAAAGCGGAAAGCGACCATGGTATCCACCTCTGTTGTCTCTCATCGCCGTCGCTCCAGCAAGGCCAAGAAGCAAGCAGAAATGCTTCAGAGGTTGAAGGCATGTCAGGAACTACCCGAGAACCAGAAATGTGCGGAGTGTGGAGAAGACAAGCCAGCGTGGGCGTCTCTCCTCAAGGCTCCTGCAGCATTGAGCAGCACTACTGACAAGAAGAAACTGGGAGTGTTTTGCTGCTACAAGTGCTGCAGTTATCATTTTCAAATGGGCAGAGATATTTGTCAAGTCAAGAATATCAAAAGTTCCGAAGATTGTACGTACCTGGCCGTTTTTGCAAGACTGAGTAAGCTGTGATCACACCATTTAACCTAACTGACCCTTCTGCCTTTTTGTTTTCAACCATCAAAATATATAGGGACGGAAGATGAAGTCAAGACAATGGAAATCACTGGCAATGGCATTTCCAATGCCATTTATGAAGGACTGATGGATTCTTGCAAGCAAAGCGTTAAACCAGATCCCAAGAATCACGAAGCTCAGGCGCAGTTTGTAGAGGACAAGTACAAAGAGCTCAAGTTCTTTTGCAAGGAAGCATACCAAGCACATGGATCATGGTTCACCTACCAACAGAAGGAGCAAAAGCGAAGCAGTGGCAGCAAAAAGATCAAGAAGGAAAAGAGTACTAGTAAGTGCTCTAGTAAGTGCTCTAGTAAGTGCACTAGTAAGAGTACTAGCAAGGGCAAGAGCAAGAGCAAACCAAAAGACAAAGCCGGACGCTCCCATAGCCGAAGCCGAAGCTCCTCAGAGGATGTGGTTAGCGTGCCGGCATCATCTCCACCATCGCCGCCGCCACAAGATGATGAGTCGCCTGCAGGCAAAAAGGAGCAACTTGTGGTGGTGGATGCCAGTAGCAAACACAGCACCCTTGATGGTGTCCACAGTGATCTCTCGGAAACCGAAGACTCATTCTCTGACGATGACGACGACAGCTGTTGCCATCGTTCGTCTTCTCTTTCGGATACAATGAAGGCACAAGCGCTGTTTCACCATCAGCACCGAAAGGGACCCCACGAACTCCGGTTGGAACAAGATGCCAAGCAGATGCAGCCTGGATACTCGTCATATAGTGGAGGATCAAGAAACCATTTGTTGCCCTCGGACGTCGATTTGGGCTACGGTAGCGACCACCACCGTACGCATGACGAGTCGGATTTGGGATACGAGACGAATCACGTGGATTTGGGTTATGGCAATGATGATGACGACGACCAGAGTGTGGATGGAACGCTTGCCAACCAGTTGGCACGCCGATCTATTTCGAGCGGTGGCCGCATTCGTCGTGGGTCCCTTGGATGTGGTGGTTCCAGTCACAGTCGTCGCGGATCTCGCGTGGAATCGTCATCGCAGCATCGTGACTCCATTGGGCACAACCACAGCAACCACCATCGTGACTCCATTGGATACCACAGCAACCACCAGGGTTCTACTCCCGGGAGACGACCTTCCATGGTGAGAACATCATCGAGAAGACGAGTTGCAAGACAAAACTCCTCTCTACGCTGCCGCGAATCTGTCGGACCACGCCGCGAGTCTATTGGATCACGCCGTGATTCTATTGGATCGCGCCGCGAGTCGATGGGCCACCGAAGCAATAGCCGCCGACAGATCCAACAATGCCCCTCTACTGGTGCAGTTCTCGAGGGAGAGCGATCTGCTACCGGTAGGAAGCGCCATCATGGAAGGAGAGGTTCCATGGGAGGTTCGGCCCTGTTGGTCCACTGAGCTGAGCGACTTTTGGTTTGAAATCGAAGCCGACTCATGCATGGACACTTTCTCGGGCGCACTCAATGAAACGGTGTGACCTACCACCTTATCACACTCTCCAAGCAGATGTGTTGATTGCATGTTACCAGGTACTAGCCTTCATAACAGTAGAAAGATATTAGAAGATACGTGCTCACATTTTTGATAGAGTGCCACGTCCAGAGGTGCGGTATCAAGCAAAGTTTCAGCATCCCGCACCTCCAGCCTCCAGTACCGGTACGGGTAACGTAAGGTAATGCGGTAGCTAGGTACCGGTAGTAAGATCTTGAACTGCAGCTCCCCACTGCTCCCCACTGCCCCCCACCTTCTTAAAAAAATAAAACCTTTGGAGGTAGCTCAGCTAGCTAGAGATTCTACAGAACTAAGAAATGCAACTACAATATCATGTTGCACAGACCCATACCAATGGGAATCCGTCTCATTCGGTCATCTAAAACTGGCTACAGTCGTAGTGAGCCTGCATGGTGCCTGGAACCCTGGAACCTGGAACCCTGGAACCAGGAACTACATTCAGTGTTGGCCGCACCAGGTATCTTTTGTCTACGATTACGAGCAGTTCAGGAAGGGTTTAACTCGGAGCAGCCGGCCACACAGCCACACAAGGTGTCACTGGCAACTCGAGTGAGTACCATGGTACTTCGGTACTGTACATGTTCCGTTGACTAAGGTTTCACTCACTGGTTGAGATGGAGAACTCATCGAATTATCACTGTTAGTTTTCATAATTCGATGTGCTAGCTAGTGTTTTTTTGCTTAGGCAAGCCATTACTTCCGTGGTCACAAACGAAGCATTGAGGCATTGAGGCAGCTGCAATCTATGTAGTCAAATGACTGTACTCAGTCGCCGAATCTTCAAGGTGAATACCGCAGCCACAACAGCTTGAAGCTGCAGCCATGTCAAAACACTTCCATTTTTTTCTCACAAAAGCAGCACCAAAGAGAAGAAGAAACACCTGAACACAACACACTAATAGCTAAAAGGCAGATCAGTGGGGAGACCATGACCATGGTATCTGCACTCTCATCGAAGAGGTCCAACAAGGCCAAGAAGCAGGCTGAGCTTCTGCAACGCTTGCGAAGCTGTCGTCATCAACTGCAGAATCAGAAATGTGCGGATTGTGGGGAGGAGAATCCAGCATGGGCGTCCCTTCTGAAGACTCCTGCCAACCTTTCCGGAGGTTACGACAAGAAGAAACTGGGAGTTTTTTGCTGCTACAAATGCTGCAGTTATCATTTTCAGTTGGGAAGGGACGTTTGCGAAGTCAAAAATATCAAGAGTGCGGAAGATTGTACGTTCCTATATATGTATACCTGTATACCCCTACTGGTACCCAGTGAATTGGATACCCCCAGCTTGGACTGAGTGCAATACTGACAAACCCTTTCTTTCTGTCTCTAATGTTGTTTTATTATCTTATTTTATTGGTATTTGTGGGTATTTGTGGGTATTTATGGGTATTTTAAATTAAACAGGGACAGAAGAAGAAGTCAAGACAATGGAAATGAGCGGGAATGAAATCACCAATGATGTCTATGAAGGACTACTCAACAGTGAGAATGAAAGTGTCAGGCCCAATCCTGAAGACCATGGGGCTCAGGCACAGTTTGTGGAGGCCAAGTACAAGCAGCTGACATTTTTCTGCAAGAAAACCTACACAACCCAAAGCTCATGGTTAAGCACTGGCAGCAAAAAGAAGAAGAAGGACAAGAAAGACAAAAAAGACAAACACAACAACCATAAGATGGAAAAGGCAAAATCCTTTCAAGACCTCATGGGATTGACCTCAGAAGCAAGGTTGCTAGGAGCCTTGGAACACACCAGTAGCAAACACAGTCGCAGTACTGATGGGGCCCCGCACAGGACGTATGCCAATTGGAGCACCAACGATTGGACTGACGAGACCCAGCAAGGCACAACGGAAGAACTTCCTTTTGCCAGTCCAAAATCGACGTTTGAATTCCCCAATGACTTATCGGGATATCATGGAGAGGACTTGGGATACGGAAACAACAATAGCAACAGCAACACTCACGACGATGATTTGGGGTACGAAGTTCCCCAACAATTGGGTCAGGGAAACAACGACAACAACAACACTGACGACAAAGACGTCGATGAATCTCTTGCCAATGAATTGGTTCGAAAACAAATGGGTTACGGAGGTGGAAGTGCCGGTCGCATTGTTCGTCGTGGATCCATGGGTCACCGTGATGCGCGCGACCACGACCACGAACCCCAACAAAACAACTCCACGGGATCAGGCTCCAATCATGATGGGGGTGGTCGTCGTCGAGGATCCATGGGAATGAGACGGGGGTCCCTTGGTGGGCAGCAGCAAGATCCAGCCACGGGCAGACGTGGATCGATTGGTCAACGCCGAGGATCGGTCGGGCAGCGACAAGAATCCACAGGATCAGTACAAGAACCCATTCGTCGCCAAGAATCTTCCGCGGGAGGAACAAGACGAGGTCAGCGGCGTGGATCCATTGGTCGACAAGATTCTACAGCTGGAGGCCAAGGAGAAGGCACACGACGTCGTGGTTCCGTCGGTCAGCGACGAGGATCCGTCGGGCAACGCCGGGGATCCATGGGTCGGGAAGATTCCACAGGCGGGCAACAAGGCGACACTTCGGTGCGACGCGAATCTAGTAATGGAGGAACGACGAGACGTCGGGGGTCGATTGGGCAAAGAGGAGATTCCAGCAATGGACTAGTACAGGGACAGCCTATTGGACGACACGAATCTGCTGGGTCAAGACGTCGTGGATCTCTCGGTCAGAGGCGGGGATCCATTGGCCGAGAAGATTCCACGGGACAATCCCACGCGAACGGAGACGATCATGCCGAGAGACGTCGACCGGGCAGGAGAGGCTCCGTGGGAAGAAGCTCGACTTTGGATTCGAATGCATCGGGGTCCTCCTCTGCTCATGGATCACAACAACAAACACGCGTTCGTCGTGGTTCCCTGGGCAGAGCGTGAGGTGAAGATATGTTGCCAAAGGGTTCCGTGCGTCACCAATGAAACGCCCGTCGACGAGGCTCCATCGGAAATGCAAAGCAACTCAAGTGACATTAGTTACGACGACTAGCTAGACCGCTGGATGGGGAAGGCGGAACGAACCGCTGGTGCTCAAAACGCCTGTGTTGGTACTGAATGGAGTTCATGTTGCTTGCCGAGGATGGGAATGGCTGTCTCGACCAGGGATAACATTGATGGGAGGAACTACAGAAGGAACCATGTGCATCATGCGGGTACATGTCAGACAAGAACAACAAACAACTCGGACAAGAATAACTAGCAACTAATCTACGAATTATCGAATTCGAAGGAGAGGCGATGTTTTTCATTCCAACTGGGCTCTTCTACCAGCATTCAAATTCCAAGAATCTTTCCGTCAGGGCAATGGCTATTGGCAAGCTACAGAGATTGCCAACTTTCTTGGCTTGGTGCAGGAGACAGTTAGGGTCGTACTTCCATGTAAAAAGGTAGATCCGTGGTGGAGTAAAAAAGCCGCAGTGTGGCTATGGCACAACGACCATAGCCGTATGCGGAGCAGTCGCTATTCGAGTGGGCTCGAGTGCACATAGCAGCTAGGAAGTAGCTACAGCCTACTAGCTAGTAGGTGCCTAATCGCTCCATCGCTTCCATAACCTTGCCAGCCACGAATGATGTTGCGTGGCTATTTTGGACTCAGTGTCTGGAAATCGTCTGCGGATTCGACGCCACCTCTATGCGGGTAGCCACCGGTAGCTACCGCAACTCTGCCTGGTTCATTGTTCGTCCTTGCAAGATCGAAAACAGTCACTCTAGCAGGCTTTATGGGTTGTTTTCTGTTGTGGGTACGTCAGATCTTGCTGGCAAGCACAGCAGCCTGACCTCTGCTGTGGTAGCATTATTTATGCCACCTCTTTGAATACAGCAACCGGACGGCCTCGAGCTTCGATTTCTCCCTTTTTGAAATTTTGCTTCATCGCGGGAGTTAATTGACGGTACCACTTCAATGGTACTTAAGGGAGATTTTACGTTGTGACACACGTTCCTAAGTATCTTTGCCTGAAAGTCCCGGTTGAATTTACTCTACTGTTCTGTATCGCATGACATGATGATCGTATGTCAGTTCCGAGATAAGTTTCCCACGAGATCTTATTGCCTCCGTGGTCGTTCATCTGGATTGAGCTAGCTAGCCATAGTTTACTTTACACCATTCAAGTCCAGTCCTTGTTGAAAGCGTAGCTAGCTAGCCAGCAGCCAGATTGGAAATCGACCATGGCGCCCAAATTGGGAAAGTTGTCATCTGGCAAGTCGAATACGAAGAAGAAGCCGTTGTTGGAACTGGAACCAAGCAATGGCAATATGAGCAACGTCGATACGAAAGGAGAAGGCGCCAATACGAAAACATCCAAGAAGAAGAAACGGTGGAGCATGCGGAGAAAGAAGAAGAACGAGCCAGTGGAAAATCTTGAAGCTCCCACCGCTTTGGGGATTTGCTGTGGCCGTTCACGTGCGGAACTGAGCCATCCCGCATTTTCGGCACGCGAAGTGACGGGTCAAGTGCTGAATGGCCCCAATTCATTTGCTCCCGCTGGACTGTGTACTCTGCTCGCCAAGACGATCGTGATGAGTTGGTCCATGTCGCTCTTTGTCATTGGTCTTTTGAGTCGTTCCGAACCTCCCATGGCGTTTTTCTTTGCGTACTTGACCAACATTACCCTGCTGATTGCGTGTCTATATCTCTTGTTGAGTTGGTGGAATTCCTTGCTTTCCACCATTTGCACTTCCACGACAACCAACATTGGATGGATGCACCACATCAGCTGGGCGTTGTTTGCCGTTGCAGCTCCGGGAGAAATTATCGTCACGGTGGGGTACTGGACCATGGACTGGGACGGGAAGTTGACCACCTTGTTGGACTATTACAATATCATGACCCATGGTGGTGTCATGATTTTGGTGTTGCTGGAAGGATTATTCATCAACCGCATTCCCCTTCGTGTGCGACACTACGGTCTCCTGGCACTCTACATGATGGCCTATCTCATTTGGACATTTGTCCATGCCTGGTTCCTGATTGGTGATCCCACCAGTGAAGATGATGACGCCATTTACGAAGGGGTCCTGGAATGGAACAAGGATCCCTTGACCACGGCTGGATACGCGGCCCTCTTTTTCTTTGGTCTGGCACCGGTTTCCTTCGTGTTGGTGTACGTCTGTTCGCTCTATACCGTTCCCTGTTTCTGCTGTCTGTTCGGGGCACGACGAAGATATGTGGTGGATGGGGACGACATGACAGTTACGGCCGAGGACGATGCATCTCAAGCGAGTACTTCCTATGTGGAAATGCCCGTGGTTCCCAAAAAGAAGAAGAAAATGGGCCGATGGTTTCCCAAAGGGGGGGACGAAGAATCCGCTGCAGTCTAGCTTTGTTGCTCTTCTTGTTTTTAGTATTCGTATCTATTTGTGGAGAGGGTAATTCAATCAATGTCTAGCTAGTAGCTAATAGTAAAATGCACTTGGGAATTTTCATGGACAGAACAGATCAAACATGGCGTCTTCTTTAAAATTGAAAGCTGGCCACATGGAAAATCATGCATGGCTCTACGGGTGGAATATGCTGTTTTTTTAGCTTGTTGAAGACTCGAGGAACTGAAGAATGTGCTCACTGACGAGATCGGCCGAGGCTGGATCGGCATGAAAATGATGGGATCCTGGAAGGATGGCGAATTGTTGTGGTTGGATGCGCTCCTTTACTCCGTCCAGCCGTTCCTGCTCAAAAGGCCATCCGTCCTCGGCCAACAGAATGCACGTGGGACAATCCCGAACGGCTTGCTGCAAGGCAGCCACTTGAGTATGTGTCATGTACATGAGAGATGGCCACGTCAATCGATAATCGTGCAGGAACTGGACTTGAGTGCCATGTGGACGAGTGGCTCGAGTGACCAATTCCGTGGCAGCTTCTTGGGACAAGTACTGATTGCCCGGTGACAACGTGGCTGTCTTTCTGCGTGTTTCAATGGCCGCGTCCAAAGATGCGTGTAAACGTGGTCCTTTCTTGTCATTATTAAAATAGAGTGAGACGTTTCCTTTCATTCTACTTTCCACGTGCCTTCTTAAATGTTTGGTGACGTCTTCGTCTGGTTTGGTGAGAGGCCCCACACCTTCCAGCAACACGAGTCGTTCGACTTGTTCTGGAAATGCCGCCGTGTATGCCAAGGAAATGGCAGCTCCCATGGAGTGTCCAATGAGAGTCACTTGATGATTCCACTCGAGTTTGTCCAGAACTTCTGCCACGTAATAAACGGCTTCGGGCAACATCACAGTGGGTCCTGCTGGAGGGCGATGATCACTGAGTCCATGACCCGGCAAATCCAACGCCACCACTTCATACGACGACTCGAGTAAGTTGGGAGCCAGTTTCCAAAAAGAGCGACAATTGTCCAACCAGCCATGAAGCAGCAGAATCTTTTTATTATGCGTCTGCGTCACGTTGGTAGGAGTGGAGGGGGGACGGTAGCACTGAGCTGCCAAGGAAAAACCATCACTGCACACAAACGTTCTCTCCGTCATGGTCGTCATCGAAGATGTACTTCTAGTAGCAGTAGATGCGGCTCTGATGATGAGAGGACTCTTACTTAGAGTTCTAGTAGTACTTCCAATGGTACCGGTAGTGGCAGTGGTGTGATGGACTAGTGAAGAAATCGGAACAAACTTGAAAAAGGAGGAAGCCACTGATGCCATGCTATCCTGTCCTGGCCAAAAAGAATGAGATTGCTAGGGATGGCGAGAATGGGTTGGGCGTCTATCTAGCTAGCCAGCAAGAACAAGAGCAAGATCGGTGACAATCCAACGGCGTCGAGGGGTTGTCATCATTGTCCGTTGCTTCATTCGAATTCCTTCCAATCCAGGACTTGGAGGATCTGGAGGAAATGTATCCACGTTTCAATACCCCTGACCTTGGATACCAAAGTTTTGGCGACAATGAGTCACAGATCTAGCCGATCTCGGGGATCTTGACAAAGATCCGGAAGATTTTAAAAGCCAGAGCAAGACGGAGATTGACCAAGATCGCCGGTCACAGGAAGACCTGGTTCTCGGCCTACCCGAGATCCAACCGAGATCTCGGCCCGAGATCCAACTGAGATCACCAACTATTGAAGGCCCAGCACTGACTCCCGCCCCTTGAATAACAATGGTATACCTTGGCCGACAAGAGTACTCGTGGTGTTGAATCGATCGATCGATCGATCGATCGATCGATTGATTCGAGGTGAGCCTGCCTACCGTACCGGTATTTATCAAGAGTGTTATTGCCAATTCGAAAGCCATCCCTCATCTATTTCTATGGACCGCAGGAAGGAAGTCAGATCTCGGCCGTCAACAGGAGATTTGGCTTGTGCTTTATTTGTCATCCATTATCAAGCCTCACTCAAGCCGACAGTCTCCGTTGCAGAACAGAAAGCCATCCTCATTTGAATCGAATCCTTATGTCTCGGCTACTAGTAATGACTGTCAAGTTGATGAATTTGAAGAGCAACGGTATATCACAGAAGACAAAACTCATATCTATTTGTTGTTTTCTCTGATGCACTGCCGACGGCCGGGGAAACACCATTGTCAAGTCATTTTTGATTGATCACTCCGAATGACAAAGGTGGGCCACTGGGCCTCTAGTAGCAGAGTTTCTTGTTCTGTACCCAAAACAGTTGCGGTTGTCGGATCTTGGTCGATCTCGGCACGTCTCGGTCAACCGAAATCCAAGAGCAACCGAGATTAACCGAGATCCACCGTTGATCCACCGAGATCCTCGAGATCTAGACCAAGATCCAACCTACCGGGACGCGGGACTGATCAGCGATCCCAAAGCTGTCTTTTGGAAGGGTGGACCTCTTCTGAAAAGGACACCAATGTATGGATTGCAGTTGCTGGGGCTACCCTCCAGAACTGGAGACTACATTTGTACGGATTGCAGTGCTGGGGCAAGTGCTGGGACCAAGCAATTTGAGAATTCCAGTGCTGGGGTATACCTGTTGTGGGATTTCGGGTGCCGGGGCTTACTTACTATTGCAGGGATTGCAGTGCTGGGGCTAGGACCAACCAATTTGAGATTTCCAGAGCTGGGGCTACCTGTTGCAGGAACTCCACGGATGGGGCTAGCGGCTGTGGAACTCTAGCTAGTGCTGGGGATTACTATTGAAGTCACACGCCAACTGTGACTCAGAACTCCACACCAAGACTGTTAGATGGTCCCCTGGCTTGCAGGAACCACAATTAGATGTAGATCCAGCAGAGCCTCCAACAGCTATAACAGCTATTGGGGGACATTCCCTGCTCAGCCAATGGCTCCCATAATTGTATTTCTAACCTTCAGTTAAACCAGAGCCATTGACTTCAAAGTTAGAAAGCAATCTCAAACAACACCCGCACCGCTCACAACAATCACAACAACACAACCCCACCTAACGCACATCCCTACACTCCACACAACACAGCACCCTCACCAAAATTACTGGAGCACCAACCAGAGCCTCCATCAAAATCTCATAAAAGAAAACAAAGACAATGCGCGCAACATCCATAGCGCACGCGGAGCAGAGACGAAGGACACCTTCGCATCTGCTACCAACTGAACGACTACAACGCAGAGCCCATCTTGCCGGCAACCCATGGATTGACCCGTTCATCCAGGAGCACTCCCAACATCCCGGCTCAAGCCACTGCAACCCAAATCCAGAATGAAGTGGCCAACACAATACGACTTTCAAGAATTCCAAGTCTCCAATCCACCGAAAAAGCCCTCCTCAAACCGCCATGCAAGCCACAGAGGACGCTACTACAAGGCCTGGAAGACCCTGCGAAGGATACTCCCATGTTAGAGTTTACACTCGATCATGAACACTCCAGAGAGACACGACACATTACCAATGATGACCGGACAAAAACATCGACACGCATGAACACAAAATGGTCTCCAGTGACCCATTGAAAAACTCTTCAAAACAAATCAACGACGCCCAAGCATTCGCACGAGGACATGACGAAATCACCAACCGTGCAGCCCTCCGTGCCGGTCTCAAAAACCTCGAAAACAGTGGCGTCTTTCCTTTAGCACTCAAAGTTGGCGGCCAAACACCCACCGACAAACTAAGCCAATATACACACACCAAAAACCAACACAATGGCAACTCCCAAACCACTCAAGTAAGCCAACAAGACAACGACCATGATACAAACAACATGGCTACTATGAACATCAATGACATCAGCCTATCAGCAACTCTCTATCGTACAATGACATAGCAATCCCTATATACATGAACAAACTCAAGGTGAGAGCATGTCTTATTGTTTCTCCCACGGACTCCAATGGGATCTCACCCACAACAGTAAAACCTGCCGCAACCGCCACACCGAGCACAACCAGAAAGCCACCCTCATGAACATGTGTGGAGGCCGATGCCAAATCAAACGCAAACCCGGCGAATCCGCCATTGTCAAGTAACATCGCCAACAATCGTACATCAAAACACACGTGCACAACCAAACTAAAAACACAAAACTGGCCAATGCCAACCCACTCCGCACGCAGTGACAGCACTGATCGCACCACAAACAACCACTGTTCGGACGTTAGCTCCTCTTCTAACGGCGATCGCAACGCTTTACAAGCACAATCTGCTAATCAGAGAGCGTAAAGGCCACAACATATAAAAATATAGACAGAACACAGTATTAAAATACATCGAAATCGCAAACTAATTGCTATCCGTCCCCTCACTCACACCATTTCCGACACCAGGCACTGAACTCAACATAAGGCGCCTCCATGCGCAACCACTCACACCAATTAGACCACCACCCCAGCTAACTAGTTAACTTGTCCTATAACGTCCACTGTAGATAACCAACACTTCATATGTCGCCAATCCTCCACATTCCGACTCTACAATCCTGAACACAATACAAATCAAACTGTTCAACTCCTTCGACAACAACTCTTCCTCTCGATCGGACCAATCTCTTGCGACCAATGACTGCAGTGCAAAATTCAACAATACACAATTATGACTGATCCAACGCACACGGCCAAACAATCTCTCACAGTTGCTATCGCTAACCACCTCACTAATGGACTTCTGGCATGTCCACCTCTCCACAACACACTCGGCCCACAATGGATTAACCAACCCTGACCGCCGCTCATACTTGTTGCGATTTGCTCATGCCTAGCACTCGATCCCCGGCACTTACAACACTCCCCCAAACCCTACAACGAAAACAGTCC